CCCACTCTGCCTCCACTGCGTCCCCGCTCCGTCCCCGCTCGGTTCCGGCAGTGTCCCCGCTCTGTCCTCCGCTCGGTCCCCGCAGTGTCCCCCGCTCGGTCCCCGCAGTGTCCTGCTGCGTCCCGCCCGCCGATCCCCGGCGATGCTGCGCGGCGCCGCCTGGGCGCTGCTCCTGGCCGCCGCCCTGGGGCTCGGGGTGCGCGGGGTGCGCGGCGCGGTGGCCCTCGCCGACTTCTACCCGTTCGGCACGGAGCGCGGCGACGCTGTCACCCCCAAGCAGGACGACGGCGGCTCGGGGCTGCAGCCGCTCTCCGTGCCCTTCCCGTTCTTCGGCGCCGAGCACTCCGGACTCTACGTGAGTAACCTCGGGCCGCGGGGGCGCCGGGGCGGGTGCTGCGCCCCCGCCGCTGCCCGCCGCCCCGACTCGCGCCGCCGCCGCCAGCAACTTGGCACCGCGGCGGCCAGAGGTGGAATGAGGACAGCGCTTCCTCCCTGCGGCGGCCAAGGCCGGACAGCGGCCCGCGGGTGAGGCGGGCGGGGGTGGGGTTCGAGCTGCGGCCCGGCCACCTGGGCGAGCGGAGCGCAGGCCCGGCCTCACCCGCCCCCGGGGCTTGGGCAGCGTGCGCACACCGCGTCCGCCCAGCCATTGGCCCCCCGCAGAGTCCTGGCCCCGTCCTGGTCCCACACGTCAGTGTGACGGCAGCCACGTGCTCCCTGGGGCCTCAGTCTCCCGAGCGGGGCACCTGGCCTGCAAGTACCCTCTGGCAGCCACCTAGACCCCGCCCCGCCCTCCTTGACGCCTGAGGCCCGCTGGCAGGAGGCTGGGACCCCTGGCCAGGTAGTCAGGGCAGGGCCTGCTTCTGGGCAGAAGCCCCCCTGGGTGTGGCAGCAGCTGGGCAGAGTGTCCCCTCCGAGCCTTTCCCTCCCTTTCTCCCTTCCTCCTGAGTCCAGGAGCCACTTACTCAGGCCAGTGCCTCCCCAGCCGGACTCCCAGAGGGAGCTCTGGGGCCAGGCACTCAGGACAGCAGGAGTCCTCAGGGCGAGGGGCAAGGGCGAGGGTTCTGTGTCTGGCGCTCCCGGTGTGGGAGCCATTTGTGGGCCACAGAGGGAATGAAACGTGATGGCTCGTCACCGCATTGCTCTGTGGGTGGGCCGCTGGGCACCTGCCGTCCCCTGAATAGAAAAGAGTTAGGCCGGCCGGATGCACTGTTACCTCTACAACCGCCGCCCCAACCACGACCTCAGCCACTTTCAACTCCATCCACTGCCACTTCCACCACCTGTCCTGCCATGGACCCGCCCCAGCACCCCCCGCTGGGCCACCACCTGCCCCTTCACCACTGTCACCCACTCCGTCGGCCCCTCCTGACATGACCAGCACCCTCCCCACCACCTTCAAGGCCACCCGCACCACCACTCCCATCTTTTGCACTACTGACACCCTCACCGGGCCCCGTCCGAGCGGCCACCACCAGCCCCTCCACCACCGTGGCCACCATCATGTGCTCTCTCCCCCGGCGACCACGGCACTCCCCATGCCGATGCGGGAAGCTTCCGCACCTCGGCAGCAGCATTTGGTGACGTGACAGTGGTAGGAGGGGGCCGCCGTCCTCTCTGTAGGCCAGGACTGACTTCCAGAAGTGCGTCGTGGACAGCACAGAGCTGTGCTCAGGGTCTGCAGGGGCCGGAGCGGCTTGGAAGTGGGAAAACTCACGCTGGCACCATTTGAACAGAACACCGTCAAAATGCTCCTAAAGCATCTGGGCCAGGCTCAGCTTTCCCCCTCACGGTCACGGGTGAAAATATTCTTAAGACGGTTGACCTTCTTAATAGCCTCACCAAAAACATCTACTCTTAGCAAAACAACTGGGAGAAATGGTTCTAAAGTGGAAAGATCTACTAGGAAAACAAACAGTTTCATCAGAAATGAACATTATGGCCGCTAACAAAACATATATCTCCGTGAGAGCTTTTTCCGGAAACAAAGATAATATTGGAAAAACAAGTGTCCATGTGGACATAAGTAGCCACGCTGTGCCTTCTCTTCCTTCAGCGAGAAAGACCGTGGGATTCCTGAGGGTGCCATGCCCGGACAGCTTGCCTGACGGCACCGGGAGGGCGCGGGGGTCCCGCACGAGCAGGCCGGTGGGTGGCTCCGATTAAAGCTAAGTGAGAGAAGGGAAGGTGTTTATTCCAAAGCAGGTGATCTGGCCAGTGCCTCCCATGCCTACCTGGTGGCTACGCCTGGATATCAGAGGGCAGATGGGGAAACTGAGGCTCAGAATGCAGATTCAGGGGCCTTTAGACCACCCTGTCCGGCTGCCTCCTTAGCATTCCATCTCAAACTTAGCAGGACCCAGACAGAGGTCCTGCTTCCTCCCTAGGGCCACCGTAGCCTTTTGATGCCTCCCTCCTTTCCCTCGTCCCCTCCTTGTTGGAGACTTAGAAATACATCCCACTCCTCAGCGCCTGCATGGCCACAGCCCGGGGCAGGGCCACCGTTCCCACCCTCCTGGATGCATGTAGGTGCCTCCTCGCTGGCCTTTGTCTCCCGGTCCTGCCCCTCGAGCCTGTGCATCCGGCGGCTGAAGCAGCATTACCAAATGTGAATGAGATCCTGGCTCTCCTTCCAGCCCTTACCTGCTCCTGGCCCTGAGGCTGGGTGGTCTGGCCCCCTTGTCCCCACCACACCCTCCAGCTCTGTCTCCTGTGCTGGCCCCTGACCCCACCTCAGTCGTTGCCCTCTGGTGTCCACTTCCTGCGTGTGGACATGTGCCCTGCGAGCCACAGAGGGATGACCTCACAGCACATATGTCCGTATGTCTACGTTTACATCTCATGGCAGCCGGCTGTGGACACAGGCCCTTGCGCATGTGTCTATGCACACAGCTCACTCGTTTCCTGGCTCTGTCCACTGAGGGAGAGCGACGCTGCGACACCCCCGTAGCGCCAAGCACTCCTGGTGCTCAGATCCTGCTTGCCAAACACCAGTTCTCCCTGGAAGGAACCAGGACTCTCTGGAGATGATGGAGCCCTGGCAGGGAAAGTGCAAAATGCACCTGGAAATCAGTCACACGCAGGAGGAAGAAGAGTGCTCCAAGAATGGCTGGGATGTGTCCAGAGGACACAGAGGCCATCAAACAGGCTCCCTGGCCATACGGGGGTGGGGGGGGGGCGGCAATCTGAGCATTAAAATAATGGTAGTAATAGGTTTTAAGCCATTGGATAAAGGGGGAGCCAGTGAGCTCGCACTGGTAAAAGGAAGTAAACGATTAAGTGTGTAAATGGGAGGAAGTAGTGTGGACGGCCTCACATCAACCTCTAGCTTCCCGACCTGGGTCCTGCGTGTGCGCTTCCAGCAGAGAGCATTCTTGTCTGCCCTTCACTCTCCAACAGCTCAGGAAACATTGCATAGAGACAGACGGACAGACAGACAGAGGGGGGAGAGCGAGTGCACGGGGCAAATCCGAGCAGTGGGAGCGTGTGGATTAAGAGTGGGAGGACAGGGGCGCCTGGGTGGCATAGTCGGTTAGGCGTCCGACTTCAGCCAGGTCACGATCTCACAGTCCGTGGGTTCGAGCCCCGCGTCGGGCTCTGGGCTGATGGCTCAGAGCCTGGAGCCTGTTTCTGATTCTGTGTCTCCCTCTCTCTCTGCCCCTCCCCCGTTCATGCTCTGTCTCTCTCTGTCCCAAAAATAAATAAACGTTGAAAAAAAAAAATTAAAAAAAAAAAAAAAAAAAGAGTGGGAGGACATTCCTGGCTGCGACCTTGCGTAATGCTGTCAGCTTGACTTTACGTCAAAACTGAGCGAATGCCTCCTGGTGAGAACACCCTTGTGTCTGTGCCCAGAGCACCTGGCCACACACCTGGCCAGCCCCACTGGGAGGCAAGCCTGGCCAGCTGGGAATGAGTCCGGGGTCCCCACTCCTTAGCTCTCGGTGACCGTATGAACTTTGGAGCTAGAAGCGACCAGCTCGCCAAACCCTGTCCTTCCAGACAACTCACCATGGAAACCTCGTGCACTCCTTCGCCAGTGACTTGTTCCCTCGTTCATTTATTCATTCACTCATTCATTCATTCCAAAACCTTGACTGAGCCCTTGCTCGGAATCGAGGAGTCCAGATGCACTAACAGCAGTGTTTTGGTTTTAGTATTACCATCATCCTTGTCTATTTTGTTCACCGCGCTATCTTGGCTTCTGGAAGAGAGCTAGCTTCTAGAAGCTTCTAGGTCAATGTTGTTGTTCATCTTCTGATCAGTGGGATGGTACAGGCAGAATCCCACCATCCAAAAACAACACTTTTAACATTTTGGTGAAATTCTTCTTGATCTGTTTGCAAGCATACCTAGGGTCCCACGAGACAAACCTGGGGCTCCCATTTCGTGCAAGTTTCTATTTTGCATATTTCTTTCGGTACTTTAGGCTGTGAGCATTTCCCATGCCCTAAATTTATAGAAACATGCTTTTAGGTGACAGTGTAATATTCCTTCCTGTGGCTGCATCATAATTATTTAAGTCGACTGCTCTGTTGACTATTGCCCCTGTGGCTGGTTTCAGTGTCTCCCATGAATTGACGGTGCGCTGGTGCACGTGCACCCTATACACGCCTTGTTACGGGTCTCTCGTCCTTTCCTCACAATAAATTCCCCCAAGTGGGCTGACTGCGTCCGAAGGAATGTCTCCTTACTGCCCCGGCCATTCAGAAGGGCATCCTCTTCGACACCTTCCTCTGCTGGGTCAGGTGGCCGCCTCACCTGGCCTGGCTCAGCCCGGGGGCAACTGCTCTGCCCACCCCCCCCCCCACCTCCCTCAGCTCCAGCAGCCATCAGGAGCTGTGTGCACCTGCAGGGCACGACCCCAGCATGTGTGCTGCCGGTCGCCAAGGGGCGTGGTAGAAATGTAGATCCCCGGGCCCTCCCAGAGGGTCTGATTCCAGAGGTTTGCATGGGCCCGACTCCACATTTTGACCAGGGGTTCCTGGTGCCTGTCCAGAGTTCCATCTGAGAAACGCTGCTCTTCCTGAGGACACCCACTGACCTGCCCTCCTACTCACGGCTGGCCCTGGACACTCCTAGCCCCGCAGGCTCGGGTGTTGACTGCCTCCCATTTACTGGTACAGGGCGGCCAGGACAAGCCTCCCCAACAGGGCCCTGGGCACGGGTGCTCCTTGTGATCCGTGATGGGGGTGGGGCAGTGAGTGGGCCCCAGGACAGAACATCTGGAAGAGCCTGAGCCCCAGGGATTCCGCTGCTGTGGGTCTGTGAGCAGGCAGCTGGGTGAGGGCACCTGGCTGGTTTCACCCCATACCTGGTCTCCAGGGAGGCCCAGCCTTAGGGCCTCAACATCCAAAATCT